GTCTTCTATGTGGTTACCAGCTTTTCGGAGGAAATTAACACCTCTGACTTCGGGACAGTAAAATGCACGTGCCAGTCACACAATACAGTTCACACATAAAACAAATTTCCATTTTTATAACTTTTATTACATTATTATCGCTCCGGAAACGTCCTCAATGTTCTTTCCTGAAGGGGGTAGTAATACGCGACTGTGTTCTTTGAAACTCTTCTCAGTTACAGAAATCTCGTGTGAAAATCCGGGATCTTATTGTTTCCATGTTGATATTGCTAACATTACGTCCTCTGTCCCCTACGCTATTTAATATGTATATACATGAATTAAGTAATTATTCAGTGAAATAAAATATACAACAAAGTAATCAGATTCCAAAATAACACAAAGTTAAATAACTTATTGTATCCAAAGAGGAGTATATTTGTTAAAAAACATTTTAAAAGATTTCGGAATGAAAATTTCTTGCAGCAAATCCAAGACTGACTTTCTTAGGACAATCACCTGTACACAGCAAAATTGTAATTGAGAATAGCATACCAGAACAGGTGAATACGTTTAATTATCTTAAATGTCATTTATCATATAAAGGTGAAAAAGACGTTCAGGACAAAATTACTGAATTTCTAAAAAAAAAAACAGGTTCATTAAACAATATACTGAAACCAAATCAAGTACAAAAGACATTCAGGTTGAGGTATACAACACATTGACAGTTCAAACACTAACATACAGCAGCGAAATATGGAGTTAAAGAAAACATGATAAAACCAGATTAACCACATCAAAAATGAAATTTCTCAGGAAAACAGCTAGTTACGCATTAATGGATCACAAAACGAATACAGGAACTACAAGTTACACCAATTTTAGACAGAATCCCATGGACACAGCATGCCTCAAGAATGGATGACCAAAGGTACCCTAAAAAATAATGCAGTACCAACCTAGAGGAAAAAGAAGACTTGGAAGACCCTTGAAACGACTTTTAGACGACGTTCAACTAGAGACCGAAAAATACCACTAAGGTCTTCATGCGTGAAGTCGTATGATGATGGTGATGGTGATGTTTAAAATTGCGATTGAACTCTCAAATATATTTCTATTACAATATATAATTCTGGATATGGCAACATTACCAAACTAATGGGTCTACGCGGAATATTCTCTACGGACCAATTATAATGAAGATTTCTGTCTTCTGGGTTGTTGCGCCGTGTAGTCTGGTAGAAGTTTACCGACGTTTCAGAGGGCCTTGCTGCCTCCATCATCAGGAAGATGAGTAAGTATAAAATAATTCATTATGCAGCATCTTACCGGACTTCACACAGAGGACATAAACATATCATTGCTCCCGTCTGCAAGGTTCCAGTTTCCAGATGAGAAGTCTCTCGTCCTATTACAATATTTCCAGCCTATGGTCACTAGAAGTTGATAATTCACGTCTCTGTAACTGATTCTGTTGCCCACAGCTGTTCGCATCACTCGCGGCTATTGCCACTGCCCGCCCTGGCAACAATGGTGGTGGATTTGGGGGTGGTTTTGGTACTTCTGGATTTGGGGGAGGAGGTGGAGGACTTGACACATACTCAGCTCCCCACATTGGGGGTGGAGCCCCATCGGGTGGATACGGTGCCCCCGCACCACAGTACGGAGTACCAGCACAAGCACCTGTAATCCACAAGCACGTCTACGTGCACGTCCCACCCCCAGAACCCGCATACTACGCGCCAAAGAAGGCTCTGCCACCCCCTCCGCCCCCACAGAAACATTATAAGATAGTATTCATCAAGGCGCCCACGCCGCCTCCACCGACTGTGCCCGACATTCCGGCCCTCCCGCCACCCGACGAACAGAAGACTCTGATCTACGTCTTGGTCAAGAAGCCAGACGAAGCACCCGAGATCAGCATACCCACGCCGGCGCCAACCAAACCATCCAAACCTGAGGTCTACTTCATCAGGTACAAGACGCAGGTAAGCTCAGCAGTCTGAACAAGGCAACTCGGAATAAATGCAACGAGAACTTCATTTGAAAAAGACACAGGCACTCCTTGATTTATTCGACAGTTGTAAAATCGCATAAATCTAAAAAAGAGAAAATCACTTCTCCTCTCACATTTCTTCTCCTCACTCGATCGGCCAGCAAGCTATTCACATTCAAGCGAGCATTGTTGAATGAAATCAGTGCAAATTTGTTGAGCGCATTTTTCGAACACGCGTATAACGAGGAGTGCCTGTAATTGTCTCTACTCCCAAGGAAACCAAAAAAGCTCAATCACTAATTGTCTATGGAATAGAATATGGTTCGACTCCCGGTAAGGGCAAGTATATTCCTCTTCGCCACTACGTTCACAACGGTTCTGAGATCTAACCAGCCTCCAGAATGGGTAAAGGAGTGTCTTTCCATGGGGATAAAGCAGCCTGAGCGTAAATCACATCACTCAAATACAGCCGCCAAAATAATGCGCACCTTCATATGTGGTTATTAGGCACAGCCAGAAGTTTACCTTACTTGCTCCTGAGAATCCACCTATGAGACGTGGAGATTACGCTCCACATTTACCTCAAGACTTCGTGGAGATTAGTTCACTCAATTAACACCATAGGAAATGATTCTCCACTGTGACTCGAGTAGACAGGTGGGCGGGAGAAAATGTACTGTTGTTACAGCGACTAAATTTTTAATAAATTTCTATTTCTTGCATACGCCCAACTTCCCGTTCATACTCATACAAATAGCTTCCGGTATCGTAGCTACTGTAACACTGCACATTTAGAGCCTGAGGCTGAATTCAAATACGTTTAATTTACCACGACAGAAAGTTGTGAAACGTTTCAGAAGCCAGAGATCGCTGTTTTACTAACTACTTAATTTGTTGTTCAGAAACAGGAAGGCTACGCTCCATCGCAGCCCAGTTCCGGGTACGGAGCTCCAGGGCCGGCCCCTCCGGCCCCCGGAGACAGTTACGGGGCACCGGCTCCAGCACCATCAGGTCAGTACGGAGCCCCGAGTGGAGGAGGACCGTACTAAGTTCCTTATGCAACACACAACACACTGTTCGAATGAGTAAACTGATACGCCACTCAGTTACTGGCATTATTCGGTTTTCAGATGATACTGTTGCGGTGGGAACAGGAGTGACATAATTTGCAATGGACATTGTTCTTTATGATAGGATCAGGAAGGAGAAACAACAAAGCTATATTTGATGTTTGGTGTTGCTGAACAAGCGACTTCTTCAAGCCTTAAATCTGGGTTCAGAACGATAAACTCTTACATTTTTTTAAAAAACAAAAAGATATAACAATTTAACCGTAAGTCAGAAATGTAAATTGTTACGATTTTCAAAAAAGGGAGGGATTTTCTCCTTCTTTCCAATTATTATAGTAATACAATCACATTTAGGCCTAATGTGTTCAAAAAAATTCTGTTCATGAGACCCTGGTGATGATTCTGGGATAATAAGGAATTGTAACAGCGAAAAAAAGGTTTGTGTCATTTGTGGTCTTCTGGGCTGTGACACCATGCAGTCTTGTAAGTGGTTGTCACAGTTTCGGAGGAACGTATCGTCTCCGTCTTCAGGTAGGTTGAGAAAAACGTTTAGAAGGAGCGTCGGTAATCAGACAAGACTACAAGGCGTCATGGCAGCCCAGAAGACCAAAATCGATATCTTCACCGTCGAGAGAAACTCAAATCTCAGATACCGGCATAAATAAACTACTGTAAGGGGCCTGTAAAAACAGAGAATCATGCAAGCGTTATCAAGGTGGATAAATGTGAAGTTAAATTTAAAATTTATATGTAATTTGGTATGACTGCTTTTTGATAACGTAAAAGATTCACCTTCAAGTAATGGAAACGTCTAGTTGCATAAAACGAATTCGGATCTTGTTTGGAATAGTAATTCTGGAAGTATCTACCTTGGGTTCTAGTGAAACAAAATCTTTCAACACTGGAATCCTAATTACTTTTACTTATATTAAACACTGTTAAAAAATCGTACGCTAAAAATTTATTTTCCAAAATGCACCGCCATGCTCTGGTTCTTTAGATATAATTCTATGTGATACTTGGGTAATATAATGACCACCCATACTATGTCGGAAGTGTTTTGATTCTATACACAATATTGTTTGGTCTAGTACAAGCTCATACCTTAAAATACAATAATTTACCAAATACAAACGCTCAAAACCAGAAGGTTTACAGCACTTGTAACAAAATAACATAACAGCGTTATTGGCTCTCTATTAATGGGACTGATTTAATTTGTCTCAGCTTTTAAAATGCTTATAAAAGTACAACACAATACGCTTTAATTCGACTGCATTCTGTAACCATGGAATAGCATATTGAAGGCATATTTGTGTTCACATGGCACAGGGACTTTTTTAACTTTTCTCGAATTTATAGTTGAACTTTTCCTGCTTCGTATTTACAATATCCTAATAGTAGGTTATCATTTTATTAGCGGGATATTTCGCACAAGCTAACCAGAAAATTTGAGTACAAGCTACATGAATGGGATATTCCATTGTCTTCTCCGAAATTTCAGACAGTTCTGTGACAGCTAAAAGATGTACATGTTCTTTACTGAAAACATTCCATTTTTCCACATCTCTGACGGTTCATTTCCGGAGTTCAGTGGAAAATTGTTTCAAATCCTCAAAATATAAGAAGTTATTAAGCATTTATTTATAATAGACAGTACTTGATGTGTTAGCGACTTCTATCTTTGCTACAAATTCTTCCACTAAAACTTTTCTATTATTATCTTAAACCCGTTTTCATTTTTGGAAGAAATAGACAGACTTAAGCGTAGTTCATTTCTTGTTATACGTTGGGGTTACATGCCACAGTCGGAAGTTAAAGCTTAACGCCACATACCGTCGCTTAAATTAAACTCCAACGTTGTGTGGTACTTATGAATTACTTTATTGCACTCATTTTTTGGAAACAATTTTTAGAAAAATATGGTGCTTTTAAAGTATGAATTTACCTGAAACACGAACAGAAGTGTAGCTCTAAAAATTAATATATGGAAACAATTTTTAGAAAAATATGGTGATTTTAAAGTATGAATTTACCTGCTAGCTCTAAAAATTAATATGGAGCCATCTAGTTTGTGTGTGTGTAAAGAGGTTTTCAGATTCTCGATGTATTATTTTTACAAACATTATTCACACTTGTATAATAGTTTTTTGTAGCTTTTTGTAATAATATAGAAAAATGTAATAAAAATATTATTTTTATATAAAACTTAATATATAACTTTCGTGAAATGATTCTACATACAGCAGAGAAAGGACCAGTGGAGCAGGTATTTTTCTGACTTACTGTGTAGCAAAGCACATAAATCAACCTTGAACTTCCATTTTCTAACATTTGTTTAATTGAGAATAACTTAACTTTATCCTACTTAAATTTTCAAACTTTATAAAATATTACAATTAAATTAAATAAATAACTTTCTTTGGTAATGACAAATACTTCAATAACATTAGACAAATATTAAGTATCTAATTCATGTGATTTAATGTCGTAAAATTTGAACGCAGTCTGTAAAGAAAACAGCTGAACAATAGAGTATATCATAAGTCAACACAAATTGTGTTTTATTAAGTTCTTCTCATCGAACACCAAATATATTAGGTTGTGTTGTGCAATAATGGCTACCGTATATGATTTACTACGTCCCACGTGGAAATCACCGTTAATTTATAAAACAGATAGCTGTACCTTTTCAGGACGCTAAATAAATTACCGGGCACACGTGGAATTAATTTTAATGTAGTAAGCACTTGAACTGAAGATCGCTTTCCTGTTCGTCCGATAAAAGTAATTGCCGACCAGACCAAAACGACCTGATCGGAAGTCCACTTAGCTTTCGAACTATAGACTAGTGGTTAAAGAGGACAAAATGGCAGGAGTGCAGAACTGAATTTCATCCAACGGCACCTAGATGCCGTAGGGATGTACATCTATGCAGAATGCATGCCTTCATGGCGGAATGCTTACGCCCAAAAGCACAAGCATGCGAGGTAAACCGTCACGTAATTTATAACCTTGGTTTCTAGCCCACCTCCGCGACACACAAAGAGATCGCTGTCTGAGCAATTACCTTCTCAAGTGATATCGTTATGACTAACTTTCAAAATGAAAACATGTAATTTCCAAGTGTTTTAAACTGCATACGATGACTCTCGAGAGGAGAGAGTTCTTTAGAGGAAATACATTCTCTGCTGCACACATTACACACTCCAGGATGTGTAAAAACATTCTTAAATGGATTTGCAAAGTAGGACGTAAATTATGCATCAAGTGAGCAACTTAATCGCGTTGTTTTGTATAATGCTTCTCCCTTCAAACCAATTCACTAGTACATTAAGAAAGCAGATCAGCTTCGAGGTGATGGGTGTACGAGAGGTTATGAATGGTTAACTGAGTACCTCCACCTGAATCCCAAACCTGCCTTCCGACAACTGACAATTGTGCGGCGCTTAGATTTCATTAATATTAAGACTATAATTTGTGCATCCTGTTTCTAACCTTCTTTTTCAGGAGATGTACTTGTGGTACGTAGCAAAAGACACTAATTGTTTTTATTACTCGGATGAAATCTCAAAAGCAAGACATTATATCCCATTGGATTCTTCTGTTGATACTGAACCATAAATATATTCGCTAAAACTCTGAAGGAAATTAATGATTATGCTGACGAGGAAGTCTCAATTATCCATTGTATGAATCAATATTAAGACCGGCCCATATTTTGTTGTCGTTTTTGTTTCATAGCACTTATTCTCTTTCTAAGAAGACTTCCGGGTAAATTGTCGTTCACGTTCTCTTTATACTAAGACAACGACGTATGAACAATCGCGCTGCTGTGGACGAGCATAATTTTTCCGTCATAATATTGCTGGTACTTTCCTTTGTGTATTGAAGGCCCATAGGGCAAGTATGCGTCATGGTTTCCTAAAGAATAGACACCTGGATCTGTCTCGTCATTGAGACAGTTAGTTGAGCGTTTCTTATCCATTTCAGCGTGGTGTTAGACTAGAACATAGTTCAATACACTGCACTAAATATACTGTATACGAAGTACATATTAAATATACAAAATTATTACTTTAAAAATGTGCATGGATGTTCATATGTATTTTAACTATGTTCTTATTATTCTTCAGCGTTTATCATTTTGTCATTTGTATAGGACCATATACGATATGCTTCACAATTTTAAGAAAATTTTAACAGATTAAAAGCGTTCATGGATCAGTTAACAAATGACAAACAATAAACAAACCAGTCAGAACGAAAACATAGTTCTATGGAGTGCAGCACGTATGAAGCAAGGAGTAAATCTATGTGAATGATACCAAGGCACCAACAATTTAGCAAAGAAACACATCTAAACCGATTGGATGAGGTAACAAAACCTTGTGTGTTACTGTTAAAGTGGACATGATCGACGTTCAAAGATATTCATTTCCCTATTTGACGTTGCAGCAATCATGGTAAATACTGTATGATCATCATGTAGGACACAATACTGGTTGACTGGTGAGCCCCTCTGAATAGGACTGTAACGACATCAATGTTGTTGTCGGTAATATTGTCAAATGGAAAAGTCTAATGAAATCGAATATAAAAAAACATTGAATAAGGACCTACAGTTGATTATTATTGATGACTTGTAATTTACAATAATTCGTATATATGTTTTAAATAGCACGTAAAAACACATTGTCCCGAGGGAATCTACTTTCTTCACACAGATGATAACAGCAACTGAAAAGTCAAACAATTTAATATGCGCTGGTAATTTTTTTAAAAACATACCTGCCATCAGTCGTCTTGAACATGTTGAATTTGCCTCTGGTTTCCCATGTTTATGAAACAAATTTAAATTAAATTCTCACATTTTACACTTGTAGTTCACCACAACCAAAAAAACCGAGATTCCTTCAATTAATTGCATGCTCTAAATTGTTTAACAAGACTAGAAATGTGTACCCTTTGAAGGGCACAGAAATTCCAAATGTGTTCTTTACGCCAAATCATGGGCGATTACGGCAGCAGGGCAACCAAGAGAATAACAAATACAAAAATGGTTCTAAAGAAAATAATGCTGTTGAAGGTAACTGTTGCAATGTGACAAGATGTCACTGTTGCAGCAATACATTCCAAAAATTATCTCGATTCACATTACCGCATGAATATGCCTCGATTCAAAGTTGGTTAAAATCAGCAGACAGATTGGTGTTTATCTCGCAAGAACGTAAAGAACACCTGAAATACTATTTACTCAATCACGTGGTTTAAATTTTTAGGTTAACTCTTTACCATTTTAGAACATCTAATATGAATCTTATCTATTCGAAATGTACTGCTTCTCTAAAGGGAATTAACACAACTTATATTATAACAAAAATTCAGCGTTCACTACGACACACTTCTAAAACAGAAATAACTAGCTATTAGCACAAACACCAACGCAGAAACCGATTTAACTGGAGACATCCCACGCACTAACTGTAGGATCATGAAGGGATTGAAGATATCCCCCCTCTTCATTACTCTTCCTTCAACAGAGATTACTTTTTGTGTTCAAACACATTTAATCTTCCAAATATATGTACTATTTAAATTACAAATTATATATATCCCAGGTATAAATATGCTTGGGATTCTCCTACAGCTTCCTACTTATCACAATTTTATATTTGTCATCAGTCACATGCTTACTCATGCATAATAATCTAACCTTTCCTGACTAGAGTAGTACAGCCTAACGGAAGGTTAAAATATGACAAATTGACAATCATAATGTTCGAACAGGCCGCATCGCTGCGATCTGTTCCAGTTCAGGGCAGACTGCGCCATGAGAACACACACACAGACGTAGCTACTGCAAAGCAGCCCGCCCCCACCTTGCTTCCTGCCACGAACAATTTCCTACTCGACAAGCGCACGGGGAAAAATATTTTTGCACAGTCATCAGATTTCAGTCTCAGCATATTGAAACTAGAGAAACTACGGTGCAAAGACAAACCAGGATTTAAGAGTTTTATGTGCAAACACGTAAATCTAATTACAAATCATTCTCAGATAGGCATGCTCACTGGCCATTGAAAAATAGCTTAATACCGAGAAGAATGGAGTATCGGTAATAGTCTGGATTAACATTTTAAAGAAACCTGTTCGATTCTCGTCCAGGCCAGTTTTCGTGGTTTCTT